TGAGAAAAAGGTACATATGGTGGAAAAAAGTACATTTTATCTGCTGTTATGGACTCAACAAGAAAGAAGTAGGAAAAAAAGAACTGTTGGGAACAAATAAACAACTCATACACCTTTTCTTGACATAAAAAATGGGTTTTTTCTCAATCAAAAAAAAAATCATAGGCATCAACCTATAATTTTAGAGCCCACAAGTGGCTCTAGAGCTACTTACAAGCTTTAAAAAGTGAGTTATAAATTAAGGCTTCCGAGCAACGCCTAAAACACATTTTGGGTTTGATTTCATTTGACGTGAACCCCGCTAATGCCTTCATTTGTATCTTAAACCATCACACTCTTCTTTTCAATTTTATCTTCATTTACGGGATACAAACTAGAAACCCGGAACAAATCCGGGTTTCCCAATTCGGACTTTTTGGCTGTGTTTGCGCAAACTGGGAAACTGGGAGAACGTGGGAAAGTTCCAAACACAGCCAAAAACGAAAACTGGGAAACTGGGAACAAAATCCCAGTTCTAACTTTGTATCCCGTAATTATTGACATACCAACACTGTGACCAGAAGTCCTTGACAAGTAAATTACTATACGTAATAAGAACTCAAAATAGACTAAAAATGTGGTATGCTAGATATCACAACACAAATGTATCAACAATCCAGGCAATCTTAACATATGCATAGCTCAACGCCAACTTGTGTGGTTCAAATTCCAGAATCTTGGTACAGTTCATCACTGTTCCCCATGCAAAAAGCAACTCTCTTCCTCCCCAGTGACTCTGGTTGACTCTAGGATAGGGGGTTAGGGAGCCGAGGGGGATCAAATGCCTGCCCAGCTCTGTGGAGTACCCCAAGAAGTTCAAGACTATATGACTCTATACTTACACTGAATTCCTAGCGGGTGTGCTTGCACAAAGGTGTTTATAGAGGGTCACCGCTTTCCTTTGGGTGTGCTAAATGCACAAAGGTGATTTTGACATCAGAGATAAGATATCTTCTTGAAAATACACAAGACAGAAGTTTTTTTTAGAAAAAAGGGACAACTGTATATCTAAAGACAAAGACCTCCTAGTCCTGATTGATGGCCGTCTTTCCCCAAGGTTATGAAATCCCATCATAATTAACTTGTTTAGATAGTGTTTATGCAATTCAGCCTTTATGCACTTTAAAAAAAGAAAAAAATGTGAGATATGGGAAAGGTGCAATGGCTAATGTCAGGGGGATTGTGTACGATGCAAAAGGCCTGCAAAAGGTGAGTGGTTTTGACATGGGGTTCACAGCCACTGTCAGATCTATTGGCAGTTTTTGAGATCTTTGTGTTGTTGATAGATCCAATGTAGATGTCAAAAACTCAAAAAAGCCCTTTTGAGATTCATAACTCTACTGCGCATTGGTCCAATCTGCATCAGGAGAGTAGAGTCCACTCTGAAAGTGATATAGTTTTTGACTTCAGAAAAAAAAATCTGGCAACATCAATTGTTTTCAAAAATCTTCCAGTAGATCTCACAGCGGCTGTACATCTTTATGCAATATGATGCTGTCAGAGCGCTTCCAAAGGCTGTGTGTTCCTGGGCCAGCTCCAAATTCTAGGTGCATAGAAAGTCTTGTGGTAGACATGGGGGTTGAGGTTGGAGCGTGCCGGCTGCCCCTTCCATTCCGCTTTCCATGTTTCAAAAGGAGTTCACTCTGGATAACCGATATACCAAAATAGCACCTGGGCAAACTCATCTGTTTGATCTTGTAACATCTCCACAATCCTTGGGATGTGTAGTGCCATGCACTCATTGTTCTTCATAGTGAATTGTGAGATGCAAGGCCTGATACATGAAGATATATTCAACGAACTTTCTGGGAAAAGCAAGAAACAATAGAGCATCACAAAAATTGGGATTGAGAAGGTGGCTTCCATTCAAGAAAGGTTGCGATATGAAAGTATCCCACGGAGTGACCTTAGGAGTACCCAAGTTACGCTGTGTAGCTGAAATCGATAACAGCAGGAGTGTGCGGCTCAAGATCCGGTGCGGAGCAAATATGCACTGAAAGCCATCATGTCAGTTCGTGTCAATTTGGCGCCGACTCATCAGGATCTGGTAGAGTCTAATCAAGAATTACATTCACCCAGATAAACTGAGTCTTGACTTACATGCTGGAATCTTAGATATATTGCCAGACCTCTCAGCGCGACCAAAGGTCTTCTCAATGCCTGATAGAACCTTGACTGAAGGAACCAATTAGAACGAGAGGATCTAGATTTGTTGGGCGTGTTCGTTGATGGATAAGGCCACATTCATGGCACTCAAGCTCATTTGTCGCTGTCGCTGTCGCCGCAGTCAAATTCAAATTCAACCTTAACAGTTAAACTACAACCGTTGCATCCAACAATGTCCCTCTTAGACTCCATATCTTGGCTAGTGATCATGAATTGGCCACCACATCGACATGAATAGATAAATTGTTGAACCGGCTCTTCGTGTTCGGTGATCTTCGTGACAGTTGAGATTGCAGTGAATTCGGAAAGGTCGACAGTGTGGGATACGATTGGCTTCCTGGTATCGTTTTGACCTAAAAAATTTTGGAACAAAATACGCTTGAATTAGCATCTTTATTTGACCCTTATGTCTGACTGAAGAACCGGGTAGCAATCCGGCGTGAAATGCCAAGGGATCGAAAGTGCGGCAGGTAAACTAACATTTGGATCCAAGCACTGCTTGGCTTTGATCCAGCTTTAGTTTGAGATCGTATGCTTCCCGTTTCGTCTGATCGGCCAAGATGGCATAAGCTTCTATGATTCTTTGAGCCGAAGACTCGTATAGGGTAGGTCCACAAAGTTGATTTTTATCCGGATGCGATAGCTTGATGAGTCGAAGATAAGCTTGTCGGATTTCACTTGAACTGGCATTTGATGTAAGTTGAAGTGTTTGATAGTGTGAGCAGAGTTCTTCACATTTATTCATTGGTGAGATTGATTGTATGTAGTATCACGTTCAGCGCATGGTCATCAATGTGCAGTCGACCAATTTTCCTTTCGGCAACTTCGAACATCTGCGAGCCGACCTGTTCGAACCCATGCCACACTGTATCACGTGACTCTTTGCTGAGCACCGCAGTCATGCAGAAACCCATGAATACATACAGATTTACACATTTTTTAGATGCGGTATTTTTGCCGGCAAGAGTCGCTTGCAAATTGCAATTCAGTTCTTCCAAGCAGCCTTGCCCTTCCCCACTGTATGCTATCGGGTTCCTGACACTGCCGAACGTGTTGCCGGTTGTGGTAGATCTCATTTCTGCCAGGGCTCCGTACATTTACTTATATTAATCACATCTCACCTCAGCTCAACCGATTCGAAATCATGCCACCACCCATCGCACATGGACAAGCGGAGCAATCGATCCTCCAAAAACGTGAGTATGCAGGCGAACGGCTGCGTATCATTTTAAGAACATCATAAAGTAACTCAGCTAACGAGTCCTTTGAATCGGTCCTTTAAACTAAAGTTGGAATGGGAGCAGCTATGGGTGGAGCCGTTGGAATGACTTTGTGAGGATGTTTTCAGTTTTAAGAAGGCTGTTCGAACATACAACTAATCAATCCAACATCTTACATTTTTCTAGAGGTTTTATCTTTGGAGGGTTTTCTATTATCTCAAGGGGTGCTGGTCCAAGAGGTCCTTTAAACACTCTTGCAACTTATATGTTATCTAGTGGTGGAACGTTTGCATTTTTTATGTTTGTGATTTCATCGAAATGATCTTGGATAATGATGAATGTTAGCAAGATGCTTAACTAATCAATCTGTTTTCAATCCAATCTTGTCATAATGATCCTTAGGTCGATTGGGTCAGTAATCCGTACAGAAGATCATCATCACTACTCGATCTCTGAACTTGCTGCTGCTCGGTATCGTTGGAGGAAACAGTTGGCTATTCCAGAACAAGTACATACATCAGGTTTTGAAAAAAATGAATAAAAATCCCATGCAGAAACTAGTCTCCGATGGATTTGAATTGGTCCTAAAATCTGTAAAGATAATCACCTATGCCCTGTGATTGACGTCACAAAGCATTGAAGAATCACTTGACTAGCGTTTGGTATCTTAGTTCTTGGACCAAGGTGGTGAAGATTGAGACTGATTCACGAGGCACTCTCTGTGGGCGTTGCGCAGTGAAGCCGAATCAGATCGAAGTCAGAAGATAGCCCAAACGGATAGAATCCAACCATGCTAAGCCTATACCTCTGTTTTTTTCTGATAAAATTTGGCACACCTTGAAAAGTATATAAAATAGTAAGATTTACCATTGGTAAAATTGTCTAGTCTTGGCGAGTCTTATATTCATGAAATGGCATTTGCCAACACACAAACTCATCATGCAAGATCGATAGCACTTTACCAATTACTAACAGCTTGTCTTCCCGACTGCGTTTGACTAATCTGGACTAAGTTTCAAGATTGAATGATTTATGCGAGTGTTGAGTGGGATAAGTTTCGCATGAATGTTTTGTCACAAATTCCACGCCAATTTGCTCGAGTTTTGCGGGCAAGATTGTTCAAGCTTTTGTAAATTAACTGCAATGTGTTCAGATCGGCCAGGTCATGCTTACTTCTCCGATGAGTTATGGCTGGTACCATGTTTATTTCAATTATTTTGAATATTCACTTTTCATCTGCTCCACCTGATCTAAAGGCTTATGATAAACTCACAACCTGTCAAAATTGAAATGATCGAGATATGTATGCAGAGCTCACACCGATGTCGCGATGAAGGATGCATTTATAAATTATTACAAGGAGGTTGTGAACGCCCAGGCTTTCAAAAAAAGGCACGATATGTACATGGATGATATGCAGGGGTATAAAATTTATCCTAAATGATAGCTCGCGAGGTGGTAAACTGAATGAAAACGAGACTCAGTCGCTATCGTCACCCTCGTTTTGACCTAAAAACGCGTATGGATTTTTCTAAGACAATCAAAAAAAGTTTGTTAGGCATTGAAATTTGACATCTTACATCAACTATATAAGAGCACTAACCTTGACTTTTGTTTTTCCTTCTGCTCCATCCTGATCCTGATCATCATTATCCGATCCATCCGAATCAATCACCATCTTACCTTTTTTATTCTTCTTTTTATCATCTTCATCAACATCATCATCTTGACTAGGTTGTAATGAATTCAAATCATCTGCCAATTCTCTCTTTTGTCTAATCTCTTCTGCTTTACTCATTGAATATCGATTTGGCATTCCTAATTCTGATAAGATGATCTTGATCCGTTGGATTTGTGACTGTGGAGTATTACATGAAGCAAATTCTTGTGCCCATCGTTTTCGAACTCCACATGCGATCACATAACCCTAGACATTCAAGATGGTTGTTAAGGTCGAGCAATTTTAGTGTTCCGTAAACTAAGTTGATCACAGTGGGATGAAAGCCAACCTTTAATCGCTTGATTTCTTTTGCATGTTTATCATCTGTTGACAAAACCTTAGTCTGTGTAGATGAGGTACAGCAGCATATACTCTGGTATATAAGCTATTTGTTCCTGAAAGATGGCCTTAGAGTGTGTCAAGTACAACTCAACTGATTTTGTTGCTTTCGATTTTGTCTTGGATTGTTTTGCTGGGGGTGCTGATTCATGATCCTCACCAGTCGACTTCCGTTTAGCCTTTGAAGGTGGTGCGATGGTCGGAGGTGATTCGGCCACGGGCTCACCATCGGAATCGAGAAACTGCGCTGACTGTTAGAATCAGATAATTTCAAAGCCACAGTCACTATATGCGTCATGTTTGAAAAGCGTTGCGGAGATTCCAGAGGTAGAGATATACTTTGATTTCATTCTTCTTTTCCGTCTTTGGACCTCGTTTTCGAGGTGCCTTTTGTTTAACAGATTCAGATTTTGAAGATTCCCCACTATCACTGGCAGTAAGCTCAATTTTAGGCTTTGAACTTTCAGAGACCTTGATTTATTCATACGAGATATTCATACAAAGTCAGAACTTGACGGGTAGATAACCTTTAGTGAAAAATCAACATACCTGAGGTTCACATGATGTATCTTTTATTTTCTCTTTTTTGGTAGATTTGCGGCCTTTAGCGCTAGATTTAGGTTTCGTTTGCGATGAAGATTCAGAAGGTACTTGAGCTTCAGGAGAAGATTGTTTGACACTGATAGAATCTTCTTTTGCCTTTGATTCATCATCTGAACCACTCGTCTAAGTTTTATCAAGGATACGAAATATGTGAATCATTCAGATATGAAATAAGTTTCTAAAGATTGATGAATCTAACCCAAGAGATGATTTACCTCTTCAAGAGTAGAAGCTGCAGTAGACTTGATTAACATTTTGATTTCTTTTTGTTTAAAATATACTTCATCTACCGAAAGCCTCTTGACCAATTCATTGATTATCGTCCGTGGTGTTAACTCTCTATACATAGGTAAACAGGTTTTGAGGTCAGATTTCGGATTTAATTGTGAATTTATTATCAATGGTTTGAAGTTACTTACTCTTGATCCCCTGAGGAGATTGCTTCCCGACATATTAATTTGACTTCCTTTATAATTTCGTTTGAAGTGGGTTCCATTGTTGTTGAATTCTTCAATCAATCGAGTGGAATTGTTGTATCTTTGTGAGCCAAACTTCAACTCGATTTGAAATTTATCGATTGATACCGAGACCTACCGAGACGCGGGGCAATAAATGACTCTGACCCCGCGTATGAGATGAATACCCGATCCGAGAGTCTGTTTTATATTTTCGATCGGGGTTATCCTAAGATTTATCAATCCATCCAACCTTTCCAAGTCTTGAATGAAATCCATATTATCAAGACTTCTCTCATTTTCAAAACAAAATGAGCAATTCAAATTCAACCAATACTGGAATAACAGAATTTTTAGATTCAATTTACAATCCAATCATTTCACCTGAATTTCATCAAAATTTAAATCATGACCTTTCCAGAAGACCTTTCGTTACATTAACTTATGCTCAATCTTTAGATGGTAAGATTGCTGGTGTAGATGGTAGACAATTAAGATTAAGTGGTAATCAATCTATGAAGATGACTCATATGTTGAGTTTGGTCATTGGGTTTATTGATTTGATCTTTAGAATGACTTTGACTGAAATCTTATGGATTCCATTTTTTTGTAGGATGAGAACTCGTCATGATGGGATTTTGGTTGGAATCGGCACATTGCTCAATGATGATCCGCAGTTGACAGGTGCGTACATGATGTGAGTCTAGATGGCAAAACCCCATCTTTAACCTTTTCTTTCAATCAAATCCAAATAAGTTGTGATGGGATGAGTTACTAATATTGATCATTTCAAACGATTAGCCAGGAATCTTTCTTTTACAGTCCCACTTGAAAATCAACCTCAACCAATCGTACTTGATACTAGATTAAGAACTCCAATTGATTGTAAATTAATTAAAAATTATCGAAATCAAACTGGAAAACAACCTTGGTTGATTTGTGCAAGAAGTATGATATCTAGTCAAGATCGACAAAGTTTAGAGGAAGCTGGAGCTCGAGTGATTCCGATCACAAACGGTATGAACCCATGTACGTCCATTGTCGATTCTTGATACAAACCCATTCAAACAGCTCATCCAATTCGAACTTCATTTTGAATAATGCTTGGGAGACTCCTTAGCTAACCAAGGATTAGATTTAGAAAAAGTCTTTGAAGTTTGTAAAATCAATGGAATCAATCGTTTAATGATCGAAGGTGGTTCTTCAATCATTTCTTCATGTTTAAATTACACTGGAGATCATCCAATCCTCAACATCTTGGTGGTCACCGTCTCACCCTACATGGTCGGTGAAGGTCTCACAGTCAAAACTTCCAACATTGATTCTGTAAGCTGATTTGATCTTCAGGTAAGTATTGATCTCGTCTTGATATCTTTTGACTAACATTTTTTTTTCTTGATCAATACATACAGAGACTATCACTTCTGCGACACATTCAGACCAAGATATTGGGTAGTGATGCTGTCTTTGCTTACACATCCAGTAACCCTGAATAACATTTTCATCACCTGGATTTTGAGTGGTTCAGATCATTGAATCAGGAGGTATTGGTATCATAAACTAGCCCGCCTTGGATAGCAGGATTGCATCTCAGTCTTCCTTCATATATGTTTTGAAGTGTTATGTATTAACCACTGTTTCTTGTATAAACTTCGCATACGATGTTCAATTTACATTTTTTTGCACAAGTTGTAAAGAATTTCGACTTGGTCATGGGAGTCCCTCAAAACCAATGACTTGGATGAGTGAAGAATGGCGTTTCTCAATAAGATTGTAAGGCAATTGAATGTAGCAGTCACCCTTATGATGGATGCAAGCAGCATACATAGAGCTCTCTGATGATTAATAACTGATCTTGGTCTCGCTATGCTCAAGCGGGTCCGCGGAGCTTTCTACATATATGCAAAATATGTTTTCTTAGGGTACGCATTCATGGATACCGACCTGAAACATGATTCTTGAATCTCACATCTTGAAGATATGCTATCCAATCAAATCATAAAAAACCAAAAAAAAAACAAAGAAAACCACCACCATTTTTCACAGCCAAAAAGGCAACCAACCCATAAACTTGCAAAACCAAGAAAGACAAAAAAACTCTCCTCTACTTTTGTTGTGTTTAAAACATGAAGAATAATAAAACCAAATGAATACCAAAAAAAATCAATAAGATAAAATCAATAAAAGAGAGTAAAAAAAAGAGACAAAGGGAACAAATAAAAATAGGGGTTTCTAAAAAAAATGCTGGTGCAGGATACATATAATTGATAATAAGATTTAAAATCACTAGATTGTTTTTTCCTTTTTTTTATAATACTTTATGTACCACCACCTGATCTTTCAACTGGAATTGATCTACTCCAAACAGCCGAAGAATCTATAAAAACAAAAAAGGAAACCCCATTTCACAATCATCAACATCTTGAGTAATCCTTCAATTGTTTTTTAATCAAGGAAAAGACAGAAAAAAATACGAACCTGTTCAGATTCTTTACCAGAACTTTCCTTAGCAAATGGTCCAACTGGATCTGGTTGTTGTTGTTGTTGAGATTCAATAGATCCAGCTTGTTGTGAATCAGCACTTAAAAACCTTTGTAATGTATTTGATAAAGAAACTTCTTTTGCAGCAGATGCAATATCCACTACATTATAAACGATTTCCAAAAGCAAAACAAAAAGTTAGAAATTCTTTCTTCAATAAGTAGTCACACTTTTGATTGAGAAATAAGACAAAAAACGACTTACAGAAATCGGAGAAATCAATTAAACCTGGTTGATTAAGTTGTGCTTCAGAAACAAGTGTTTCTACAGTTCCCTATTTCAATAAACCGAAAAACGCCATACACGTGAATATCCGAAACCTCTTCAATTATAAGCCTATTCAACCAAAAACTCACCTTGGGTACATTTCCATAATTCAAGTGTTTGAGTGCTTTTTCTAAATCATCAGGTGAAATCATTCCATCACCATTAGAATCTGTATCCGCGAATTCTTTTCTTAATTGATTCAATTCCTTAGGACTGAACATTGCTCGAGCTGTGAGTAATTAGTTCAAGAATTAGAAGGAAGAGATGATACATAGATCAGCAAATAGAACCCCTATCGAATTTCACATATCAAGTCTGAATGATCATCGCTCTTTTAAGATTTCAAGCACTCACAGAAAATTTGTCCTTCATCCCGAGTTTGTTTCTTCAATAATCCTCTTCTCACATCCGAAAGACTAAGCCAAGTCTTGGACCTAGGTAAACCCATAGATAACAAGAAATCTCTTGAACTTTCAAAATAAGTTTCTTTTTGTACATGATTCCAACCTAATTCTTCGGCCATGATATCAATCACTCGTGGTAAGACTTCCAATGAAGCTTGTGCATTCAAAAACGATAATCTTGTTCTTCTTGCAATTATATCAATCGGCGTCACTGCATATTCATTTCTAACAGCATATCTGACTTCTTCTTCCAAGTATGGATATGATGGATCAAGTCTTTTTCCATGTACTGGCCATCGATTTCCTGTTGGTTCTGCTAAGGCACAAACTGACCATGCTCGATCTCCATAGTTATCAGTAAGATGTTTGGCTACTTCACTTTCAAGTCCGAAATCTTGAATCAATTTAATATAAAGCGTTTTGTGCCAACCATGAGCACCGATAAGTTGAAGATGAGTGGTGATACATGGTCCGTTCGGTTTCAAATTGAAGGCGTCAATAGCCGCATCTACAGTTTCTTCAGCCATAGCACGGTACGTAGTCCATTTACCACCTGCGATGGTCAAGAGTCCTGATGGTGAAACATTGATCATATGATTTCGTACCAACGATTGACTATCTTTGGCAGCTGGATTTCGTACAAGTGGTCTAAGTCCACACCAAGCTGATAATACATCTCCACGTCGGACTTTGAGTTCAGGACTAAGATAATTTCGTACTTCACCAAGTACCCATTGGATTTCTTCTTCTTTAGGTAAAGGATCTTGTTGAACTGGAGCAGGTGAATCAGTTGTACCAGCAATTGCGTTACCTTGCCAAGGTAAGAAGAAAATCACTCGACCATCTGAAGTTTCAGGATCAATGAGTCCCATATGAGAGGGTGCATAATAAGATGGGAGAGTGATATGAACTCCCGAGGAGGGAGCTACAATGTTCTCAATTGTTGGATCGTCCAACTTTCGAATGCCATCGCAAAATGGCCCGGTGGCGTTGATGATTCCTTTTGCCCGTATGTTGAATTCCTCGCCAGTCACTTGGTCCTTAATTCGTGCACCACATAATACGCCCGATCGGGAC